CATATCTTATTTCTTTATTTAGCTTTTAGAATATTGTACTCAGCCCTATATAAGCTGATCATTAGAATCATTGTAAAGCACCCTTGATCAATTTAAAGTAAAAGAAAGTTTTATTCTTGTCAAAGTTTGAGTCTTTGTCATTGTTCTTCATTAGTCTTAAGTGAGCGAGTCTCTTAAGTCTATTGGAATCTGCGGATTAATTTTGTTGAGTGATTCAACAACCTTCATTCGTCCATTGATCGAGTGAGTCGATTATCCCACTGATTGAGCGAGTCAATCATCTGAACTATCCCCTGAACCACCCACTGATTCACGAGAGAGTGCTTCTGGCCAGCTCGTGAATTCCACCTTCCGCAAGCTAAGCTTGGAATCTCTTGATCATCAAGTGATATAAAGTTTGGAGTGATTCCAATCTTGCATCACTTATTTTACCTTCACTCAGTTCCAACTGCCTTCTTCTCTTAGAAGCAAAAAATCACACATCTCCTTCTCGCCTTCTCACCTTCTCACCATCCCAAGGCGTGGTTCTTTTTAGTTATTGGTGTAAATCGAAACCAAAACTTAGTCTCTTGTTTTCTTCACGATGAATGATCTTCTTAAGGTGAGAGTTATATTAAATAGTTTGCTTTTGCTCCTTCTATTAAATTATGAATGCCGCCTTCTATTGAAATTCATATTGTTTGAGTTTTACCATCGTATTAATTCACTTTGAGCAAGAATTTGAGTGCTGAAATCAATTCAGAGAAACTCTTTTACCTATATATTCTGAACTTTCGAAGGAGCTGGGACTTGTAATATGTATTGTCTATTTGTTAAATCTAAATTTAGCTATACTGGTTTTATGTTAATCGATTATTTGTTGTGTAAAAGAGAATATGCTAAAAGGTTTAAAATGTCTTGCTTATTCAATGCTTCTGTTTTATGGGAAGCCTTCTAGAAAAGAGTTCAGTTTGATGGTGAAATACTATGGAAGAAAAGGTGATGTGCATCGTGCACGTGAGACTTTTGAGAGTATGTGCGCTCGGCGTATCACACCAACATCACGTACATACACAACTAACACAAGGTATCTCCTTTTGTTTTAAAATGTGTTCCGATTCTGATTAGTCAAACATGTCATGTATAAGTCTTTGCTTGAATGAAGTTGACAACGAATAGACACGTTGTCTTGTTTCATTTCCAAAATAAAAAGATTGGTATATTGTTGCTGTAAATGTAATTTACTTTTTGTTGCTTTAAATGTATTTCAGGCTCACAAAAGATGGAGTTATTTGTTGCTTTAAATGTCAAAAACATTCTCTTAGGCGTTTGCATCGGATCTCTACTCTTCTTCAGGGAACTAAAGCATAAGAGACTCGTCAAGTTGATGGGATGTTGCTGCGATGGAGATGATGACTTTGACTAGATTCATACAACCATAGATGATGCAGAACATTGTTAATAGAGAGAGTTAACACAATAGTAGGGATCCTAGTTTTGATTGTATAATAAGAAAATGTTTGTGTCTTATAAGTTGAATAAATCAATCTATTTTTTATTCTTACTTCAAATTCTTGAATGTGTCATATAGCCTCTTACATGGTTTCTGCGTAGTTTTATTTGAATTTAAACAGGTAGGTCCTAAACAACTTTCCTTATCTGTATGGCAGATGTGTATGTGTATTGTCGTAATGAAATATAAAATATTAGAGAACCGCATGCCCAATATGATCGCAGTCTCAAATCTATATCCAAGAATAATTCAACACAGCGTAAGTTATATTGGCTCCAATTAATATATGAAAGTTATCAAAAACTTACAATCATGATTTTGTAGAAAACCATGATCTATATATACTTACTAAAAGTTGTTCTTGTAATTAGGTCACTTGATCTGAATTAGAGACAAATTTAACAGTAGCAAGTGGTATTTATCTACTCATTCAAATAAAACTAGCCATTCTATGATGGGGTTTTTATGATCATTGGCGATACAAAATTAAAGAGTTAATTTTATTAAAAAGATAGTCAAATGCATAAATGTGTCATATAGTAACCTCTAAGCTTGTTTGGAAGGGGATTTTATTTTTCATGGCCACTTTATTTTTCAAAATTTATACTTAGCACATATTCATGATGGGTTGTGTAGTTACTTGGCCATAAAGCAACGCCATAACTCTATCACAACTATATTAGAGTTAATAGTAACATTGTAAGTCTGTCATCACCTATTAGGTTGTAGACGTAATATAAAATATTTGTAAGGGTAAAAACGACATTTTGAGTTATGATTCGCCCTAACAAAACCCTAGATACGTATAACTCTACCACGCAAATCTATCAACGTTGCGATAGAGTTACTTATGATAGAGTTACTTTACACCAGTAACTCTCTCACACAAGTATAACTCTAACAAACTTATGCTAGTCTAGTCATATTAACTCTGTCGTAACTAGATGAAAACTCTATTTTTAATTTATAACTCTCCCATCACTACAACAACTCTCCCGTCAAAGGATTGCCCTCACAAAACCTCTTTTCGACATCAAATCTCTACCGTCACTGTCCTAAACTCTATCTGATATCTATATTTACAACTTAACTCTTCCTGTCTTCGACTAACTCTACATAACTACTCTACCAGATTCCATAACTCTAAGAAAGTTTCCTCCAAAATCTACCACCATTACAGTTACTCTATGGACCAACTCTAAGTTTCATCTTACTTTGTTGCTTAACTATAACTCTCCCACCATGTATGCTAATTGTACCGACTAAGTCTATCTATCTACTTACTCTCCCACCACTATATATGACTCTACGAAACAACTATACCAAATGTGTTTCACTCTTCCCCACAAGTCTAAGAAATAACTTCAACTCTACCATAACTACTTCGTAGACTTATCACTTGGCGGGAGTTTTTTCCCCCTAAACTGTGCAGATAAACGCCTTCTCTCTCCAACGTGGCATTTCTTTTTAATAGCATGTTTGGTAATTATGTTTTTCCTGTAACTCTAACCAAAGGACAAACTTGCCTTTTTTCGTTTTGAAACTACCCCCTCCATTTCAGTACTTAACCAGTATTCACGTGATAATCTCGCACTTTACCCTATAAATTTTCACAATATCTAAGCTTTTAATACAATAAGGACGAAGCATTGTAATTTTGAATGTTTGATAGTGATAGATTTGTATTTGTCATTTACAGTAATTTTTTTGTTTACTTTGGTAAATCTGACAGTTCTAGATTTTTAGATCCATACATAATTTTAGAAACTAGAATCAGTTTTTGATAAATTATTCTGTATAACGAAAATGAAACTCGTATTCGCTGAATCGCTTATATTTTCGATTTTACTAATCGAATATATTTTGTTTATCATGAATTTTACTTCTCGGATTTTTTTTTTATGAAAGAAACCATTTTTTTCTTAAAATTATGTTCGATTTTTGGTTTTACTTTTCTCATGTTATTATCTTAATTGAGGAAAGAAATAGTCTTCTTCCTCTAATATAGGAACATATTCTTCTATTAGACTTTGATGAAAATATCAAAAGATTATGAGAAAAGCTGTTTTCTACTAAAGTTTTTTTGATTGGGACCTCGATCACTGTCTCTCTCTCACGCACACCTAAGTTGACTGAATAGTGAAACTATGCACCCATTGTAATATAATATACTCTCACATATTTAGAGATTTCCAAGTTAATGGGCTGTTTCTTGTTAATGGGTTATGCTGAATTTGTATATACAAGTCCATGACTAGCTAACATTAGCCACAAAGTAAACCACTCGTTGGGTCTTGTAGCCTACACAACAAACGCTTAGCTGTTTTGGCCCATCGTCGAGAATGAGAGAAGAATAACAACAATCTTGATTCCTAGAACTTGATCTATAAAAACTGGTATAAGGATGAGTACCGAGTGCACTTGAGACTTGACGCATGTAGACTCTAGTTCTTGATTTAGGATTAGCTAATTTGAGAAGTACTAGAGTATAATCCTAGAATAGAAGTGTGAAGCTTACACAATACTTTTTTGTGTTATCGTTTGTGACTTATTATGATAGAAGCAAGAAATGTATGATCTCCTTCATTCTTAGAGTCCCATATATATGAATCAACTAGCTAGAGAAAGTGTCCATACACTTCTATGGCGATTAAAATCAGCGTATATGTAATCAAAATGTTAATTAATATGCCAAAATCGTATTTTTATTTATAACAAATATTGAAAGCATAATTATAATTTGCGCCACCATAATAACTTATATATATACACACAGTAGTTTTATACTTGCTACGTCCCCCTCACAATTGAGTGATAAGAGTATTTTGTTTTGGGTATCATTGTTAAGTAGAATACAAATAAGAGTTGGTGCCGACGAACGTAACATGATGTCCCACTTCAGATTTATCATTTATATACATGCAGAGATATCTCAAAGCTCTCGTGATTGATTGTACCATATCTACCTCAACCAGGCAGTGGCGATTAATAATAGAGTCCGTAGTGGACCATACTATATAATTTTATCATCTGGTTGGCCAAACTTATAAAGACTTCATATTTTTGATTTTTTGTTCTTTGAAAGTTTTCTAATGTTGTGTAAGAGGTTTCTCTCTGGTTTATTCATAGAAATGTGTGGGGTTTTGTTTAGGTAATTGATTTGAATCTTTCCCTGATGATTTGAATATAGTCTATGTGCATATGCATTGAATTGTGGTTCATTCGTGTATATTATGCATGTTGGTGGTGATGAACTGTGGATGAGGATGCATGTACATGAATAATAATTGATGTGGTTAAGACTATACTCACTAGTCACTAGGTTTCGATCAAAACCGTCGTGTTTGGGAGACTCTTACTTAAATAGTGAACTAGGGTTTTATAATTGTGGGCGATTTTGCTCTGTTTTTTAGTTATCATATTACATTTTACAGAAAGAGAATTACAAATTTATTAAAATAATCTCATAGTAATATTTTTTATATGTATATATGAAATATGATTTCATTCTCGTATCTAAAAATAAATATGAGTAGTAGAAACAATTATTAAGAGTTGGTGGTAAAAATCAAATTTGTTTGATATAATTATAATTAAAAAGCAAAATCATTCAACAACAAAATCTAAAAAAGAATATAGATTGACGTTACATATCAGATAAAGGCCACTTCATAAACATGATGTTATAAGCGTGAAAAACGTTGAAAACCAAAATTGCTTTAATAATGTCATCGTACACTGACATCATTATTATGAATATATTTGGAGAGATCGAAACATGATGTTATAAGCATGAAAAACGTTCAAAACCTAAACATTAGCAGTGCAGTGACGATCGAGGAGTGGCGGAGGTAGAGCAAGAGTATGTCGGTCAATTGATCCTGGTGAAAATTTTAAATTTAAATGAATTTTTACGAAAAAAATAATTAAATTGACCTTTATACAATAACACATTTGATCCTCTAACTTTTTTTTATAACACAGTTAACTCTATTATAAATATTTTGACCTTCCTAAACTGATTTTCTAACTCCGCTACTGCAGAGTACGACCAACGATTATGGATGAAATGTTTTTGAACCACTAATAATTTAGCTTCGAAAAGAACAAACTTAATGCATCAAGAGAAACATATCAAAGGGATCAAGAGTGTCATATAAATAAGCGGATCAAACTGAACAAATATAGATTAAACAGTGCTAATATATAAAAACAAGTTTTAAAACCGGTTTAAATAGTAAAAAGTATAATTATAGATAAAATATTTTACAAAATAATGTAAATATTATAATAACTTTAGATAATCGAGCACCTTCAAAAGGGCTTGAGGTATTATTAACTAGATCTCTCACCAGTAGCTCAAAACCAAAAAATTATTGTCGAGAACTCATATACCGATGTGTGTGTGTTTATCTTGCATATTATCAGATTTGTAATATAGCAAAAATTATTGTCCTTCCTATTCATCACTATCCAATAGTGTTGTATAAATTGATACAATGAAGCAAAACTATACAAACTAACCTCTTTTTCCATGATAATACTGTCAAATGAGTTTAGGTATTGGGTGCTTAAAGATATACGTGTCGTGTTTATCGTTTTGACAAATAGGTAATGTCACAAACAATTGGAACATATATCATCAGCGTTATGTATTACTGAAAATATTTTTAATAACCAAAACTTGTGAGAGTCTATTTTCTTGGAAAACTTTACAAGTTCTTCGATTCATGTAACATATTTCAGAGATATATACAAGTTTCGAATACCTTTAGATAATTTTTGTTCATATACAACATTCATTTTTCGTACGTTCATTTTTCACTTTTTGGTAATATAGATATGTTTCCATTAACATAAAAAACGATGATATTTTCGTAATATAGGTTTGTTGACCTTCACAAATCACAAATTTAAACGTGTTCACCATGTCGAAGTCTTCTTTTTTTTCCTACACCTAATCCCCAAATCGTGAATTCTATAAGATTAAAAAGTTAAAACAAAACAAAATTTTAAAACTTCTCTCATTTTGAAAATATCTTTTGGTAAAAGATTGACAAGGACAGTCGCACCAAGCTACACTTGCAACGGTAGGTCTGCATGCATGCAATTGTTCACTACAATGGACATGTGTTGTCTATCTGTACCCTGAGCACGTACTATATAAATGCTGTCATATGTTAGCAGTCACAACATATATCACAACACAAAACCCATTTCTCTTCTTTTATAACTATAAGAAACAAACAAAAATCTAAGTTTAGTTACTCTTAAACCAAAACAAAATGGCTAGTGTCAAAACAACCATGCTGATCCTCTTTGTAGCAATGGTCATTGCATCTTGTGCCTCGGCCATGGACATGTCCGTGGTTTCTTACGACAACAACTACCACAAAGCTGAAGCATCTTTAATCTTTGAGTCATGGATGGTCAAACATGGGAAAGTGTACGAGTCCGTAGCCGAGAAGGAGCGTCGTTTGGTTATTTTCGTGGACAACCTCCGTTTTATCAATAACCGGAACGCTGAGAATCTTAGTTATCGGCTCGGTTTGACCCGGTTTGCGGATTTATCTCACCATGAGTACGAAGAAGTTTGCCACGGGGCTGATCCAAGACCTCGTAGTAACCACGTCTTCATGAAGAGCAGCGATAGATACAAGACTAGTGCTGGTGATGTGCTTCCTAAGTCTGTTGACTGGAGAAGAGAAGGCGCCGTGACTGAAGTGAAAGATCAAGGCCATTGTAGTAAGTCTAGTGATTTAAAATGTTTGGTCTAACTAATTTTTTTTACTTTTTATTTAGGGTAAAATAAATTGGGATTTCAGTTAAAAGTAAAACTCAAAACACCTTTTCTATTTAAAAGAAAACTTTAGTCAAAGAATAATTTTTAATTGCAATCACTTTCTAGAAATAGTATGTAACTTTATGTATTACTTTTGTCTATTATTGGTTGAGACCATGAACCAACACTACGTATAGTAATTAGTAATCAATATCATTCATAACTCATGCATATTTTTGTTCTGATGTGAAGGGAGTTGTTGGGCTTTCTCTACTGTGGGAGCAGTGGAAGGTTTAAACAAGATTGTGACGGGTGAGTTGATCACTTTGTCTGAGCAAGATTTGATCAATTGTAACAAAGAAAACAATGGTTGTGGAGGAGGCAAGATCGAGACGGTCTATGAGTTTATCATGAACAACGGTGGTCTTGGTACCGACAAGGATTATCCTTACAAAGCTGTTAACACTAGTAAAAAAAATCTCTATAGCCACTTGGCTATTCGTGGCTGTGCCTTAAAATTCGTGGCTATAGCGTCGTAGCTTAAAATATTCGTGGCTGTTTTTAAAAAAATCACCTTATAGCCACGAATTTTCAAGTGGCTATATATATTTTTTAAAGATTTATTGTCAAGTGGCTATATATATTTTTTTTACTAGTGTAATGGAGTATGCGATGGTCGCCTCAAGGTCAGTCTACAAATACTGTCTATAAAAACATTAAAAGAAAGATTGAACTTATTAAAAAAACAACTTATTTTAAAAAATATTTTTATAGGAAAACAACAAGAATATTATGATTGATGGATATGAGAATTTGCCTGCGAACGAAGAATTTGCTCTAATGAAAGCAGTTGCTCACCAGCCTGTGGCTGCCGTTATCGACTCCAGCAACCGAGAGTTTCAGCTCTATGAATCGGTAAAAAATAAGTTTTTAAAAAACATTATTTAGAAATGTTCTTTAGTTGAAAAAAAACAATTTTTCTCTATCTCAAAAGGGAGTGTTTGATGGAACTTGTGGAACAAAACTAAACCATGGTGTTGTTGTGGTCGGGTATGGAACCGAGAACGGTCGTGACTACTGGCTCGTGAAAAATTCAAGGGGCAATACATGGGGAGAAGCTGGCTACATGAAGATGGCTCGCAACATTGCTAATCCAAGAGGCTTATGTGGCATTGCGATGCGAGCTTCATATCCTCTCAATAACTCGTTTTCTGCTGATAAAAGCTCCATCGCCTAATTAATAAAATGAACTACATATATGTATGTTTATGCAAGGGATCCACTGAGCCAACAAAAGCTAATCGATTTTGAATGAAAAATAATGTAGTCGATGGGTTTAAGGGTGTGTTGGCAAACTAGTACGTTTTTGAAACATAATTATAAAGATAGTACATTTACTATTCATAATTAGCAAAATAGTACAATTTTACTATTTCAGATATCTGTACAGACAGACAACTGTACAGTAACATATTATTGTACATCAAATATTTGTACAAAGAGAAACAACTACATATAAACATATTTACACATAAAGAAATATACATATATAGACAAGAAAATATATATACACATACAATTATACGTATATATAGACCGCTGTACGGATGATTTTCCGTACATCGACACACAACTGTACATAAGGATAGCTGGACGTATCTAAATTTGTTTGAAAAATATTTGAAATTATATTTTAAAAAATGCATATCAAATTATAGAGAAAAAATATAAATTTTTATGTAACTGAAATTTTATAGAAAACAAATATATTTTGATGAATATTTTTAGTTATTAGATTTAAGGGGGTTTTTAATAGTGTCTAAATAGTGTCCAAATAGTAAAAATGTATTAGTTTGCTAATAATGAATAGTAAATGTACTACTTCTACAATTATGTTTCAAAAATGTACTAAAAACCCAATTAATCCTGGGTTTAAATTGGTTCTGTAATATACTTTGGACTTGTATGGAGTTTGTATAATTATATATATGTATGAATATTTTGTTCTAGTGATAAATGATATTTTGTTCTAGTGATAAATACCAAAAAAAAAAAATGCTTAATATATAACATTCATTTTTGCCAAAAAAAAAAAAAAAACAAATACTGTACTTGCGAGATGCGAGATGCGAGATGCGAGATGCGAGATTGATGAATGATTCTAAGTAAGGAGATTGAAAGAGATGAAAGTGATCAAGCGTATTTGTAATACCAATTTTTGAAAATAATGGTGCATGTATAAAACTTACATAATTATATTGATTTGATTATCTATATTACTAAATTGTTCTTTTTTTTTTTTTTGTAACTTATCATAACTTCATAACTAAGTATGTTTTAGTTGTAGTAATTTCAGAATAAAATCCACGAAAAATATTTTGTACTATATAGAATCACTCAAAATTACTATACAAAAGCATATGTAAATTATTGTCTTGCAATTATTTTTGAATATAATAAATAGATTTTACGTTTTTTGCTGTAAATATGTTAATCCGATCAGCCAATAGGATTTATATAAAAAAAAATAAAAAAAACATTGTTCAGTTTTTTTTACACGATTTAAATGATAACCAAAAAAACTTTATTTACTACACTACCCATGGGTAGAATACTTTCCGGATCAAGTGCACTCAATCGAGCAAATTGGGGTAACATTCTCGGAAGACACCTTCTAAAACATATGCAACGTCTTCGGTTCTCAAGAATGACCTGACCTTATTTTTTACTCCCATTCAAGGTACCAAAGCAAACTTTCGGCATATTAATTTATATACCTAATTGAAAAATATGTGAAATGACCAAAAAGATACAACAAATATTATAGAAGTTTCTTATTTAATAATCTTATGTAAAAAAATTATTTGAGAATTAAGACACTCTCACCCAAAATTACAACAGTAGGTTTGCCCACTTGTTCACTCCAATGGACGGACACGTTATAAATATACACTACTTGTTCACTCCAATCCAATAACCAAGATATAATATGTAAACTTTTCTAATAAAAAATTGTTACATTATCTAAGCACTGAGTTCTATAAATACTATCATGTCTTAGCCAAAAGTATACAGCACAAATCTTCTCCTCTTCTTTAATAACTTTTAGAAACACAAATAAAAGTATGGGTTGTGCTAAATCAGCCATGCTGATCCTCTTACTAGCAACGGTCATGGCTTCTTGTGCCACGGCCATGGACATGTCCGTCCTTGCCTATGACGATAGCCACCACGTGACAGCCGGTGTTTTCGACGCTGAGGCGACCATGATGTTCGAGTCATGGATGATCAAACATGGGAAAGTGTACGAGTCCGTTGCTGAGAAGGAACGACGTTTAACAATTTTTGAGGACAACCTCCGTTTTATCACTAACCGGAACGCTAAGAATCTCAGCTACCGGCTAGGTTTGAACCGGTTTGCGGATTTATCGCTCCATGAGTACGCACAAATTTGCCATGGTGCTGATGCAAGACCTACTAGGAACCATGCCTTCATGACTAGCAGCGACCGGTACAAGACTAGTGCTGGTGATGTGCTTCCTAAGTCCGTTGACTGGAGAAACGAAGGTGCAGTGACTGAAGTCAAAGATCAAGGATATTGCAGTAAGTATATTGGTTTTAAATCATATCCATTTAATTGGTCTAACTGTTATTAACATATTATATATTTTATTTCAAATAGTCGAACTATTAAAAATTTGGAAATCCGTTAAAAATCTAAAACTTATAATTAAACACCTTTGCTTATTAAAAAAAACGTTAGTTTAAGAATAATATAACTTTAATTAACTTTCTAGAACTAGTATATTGTTAATTGAAACCATGAATCGACATTATCTATAGTAGTAAGCAATATCATTGCATACCTTTTGATAATCATGTTTGTGTCTTGATGTGAAGGGAGTTGTTGGGCTTTCTCTACTGTGGGAGCAGTGGAAGGCTTAAACAAGATTGTAACGGGTGAGTTGGTCACTTTGTCTGAGCAAGATTTGATTAACTGTAACAAAGAAAACAATGGTTGCGGAGGAGGCAAAGTCGAGACTGCCTATGAGTTCATCATGAACAACGGTGGTCTTGGTACCGACAACGAATATCCTTACAAAGCTGTTAATGGAGTCTGTGATGGCCGCCTCAAGGTAAGTATAGTTAGGATCATAATATATAAGTAACGTTTATAACAAGTAAGAATCATATCAAAAACCTAAATATTTGTTTAGGAAAACAACAAGAACGTTATGATTGATGGATATGAGAATTTGCCTGCAAACGACGAATTTGCTCTAATGAAAGCTGTTGCTCACCAGCCTGTGACTGCCGTTGTTGATTCAAGCAGCCGAGAGTTTCAGCTCTATGAATCGGTAAAATATAATTCTTTTTAAAACAAATCATTTAGAAATGTTCTTTAATTAGTTGAAAAGAACTTTTTTTCTCTATCTCTAAAGGGAGTGTTTGATGGATCTTGCGGAACAAATCTAAACCATGGAGTTGTTGTGGTCGGATATGGAACCGAGAACGGTCGTGAGTACTGGCTCGTGAAAAACTCGAGGGGAAACACATGGGGAGAAGCTGGCTACATTAAGATGGCTCGCAACATTGCTAATCCAAGAGGTTTATGTGGAATCGCGATGCGAGCTTCATATCCTTTCAAGAACACGTTTTCCACCGTTAAAAGCTTCATCGCTTAATAATATGAACTAAGTGTATGCAAGAGATCGAGTGAGCCAACAACTTATAATCGACTTTGATGGAAAAAATAATGTAGTCGACTGGTTTGGTTTTGTTACATATATTTCGTATTTGTATTGGGGTCAATGTTTGGAGTTTGTATAATATTAATGGATGTTTCTTTGAGTCCACTGCTGATCAATATTTTCCATTTTGCCAAGAAAAATTAAATGATAGTGCATGATCATCAAAGAAACTAGAGAATGAAGTAGGTTACAATTGGATTTATTTTTTTAAGGTTTAAATGGAATTAGCTTTTTGATACTAACGATTTTAGATCGTATTAACAGAGTACAGTATCGTTTAATTTGGCAATGTTATTTGAACTTTTACTGTCAAAAATTACAAGTTAGATATTTTTTGGCATTTGTTGTGATCAATAGTTCAAGACATTCTTAAAACGTGTAGTTTTGATCAAAGTTAATTTCTACTAACCTTTGCATGCATATGATGATACCTTAGAAATATCTTGATGGCTTCTACTGAATACTTTTAAAGTTGTTATTTCTTTATTTATTTTTCAATAAATTTAAGAGATTTTGGGTACGTAGCTCATATATCTCCTTAGATCCAACCAATATTTAATAATTTATACGTATCAGCTGCCACTCGATTATAATACCTCTTGGATTACTTCCATGGTATCTTTCTTTGAGTTATTTAATCTCAGCTGATTATTTAAAAGTTTTTGTAGAGAAATTTTATTATTTTTTATCTTTTTGAAGATGTGGGCATCGTCTATCATAATTTTGATGATATTTCGACGTAATTGTGATGCTATTTGTGTGAGTATCATCCATGTTATGCCTAAAAAAAGATGGTACGTGACTATCTTACAAATATAACAAAAATGAAGCAACTTATTCACGTTTTGTATATATTCTTAGAAAGTTTTTATAAGGTGGAGATCTATCTTCTCATTCATGCATGTTTTGTTCTCGTTTGTAAAGGGGGTTGTATTGGGCATTATCCATGCTGGTCGAGCAGTGAAATGCTTAAACATAATCGTGACAATAAATGTCTTAAAACTTTTGGTCTCAATGCAAAGGATCTTAGGGGATTTTTACCCTAAGATTTGCAAAGAGGATACCTTATATAATATACCCTCTTTGCAAATCTTAGGGTGAAAAACCTCCTAAAATCCTTTGCATCGAGGATGGTCTAAACGTCCTTGTTTGTTCTAATCTCTTACGTCAATGTTGCAACCAAATGTACGTAAAAGAAAAGAATGTTAAACCAATTAATTTACAATTTCAATTCCTTAACCATGCATGTTACTATAAACCGAAAATTTTACCATCTTTTCCAACCGAACAAAGATGATTACATCCGTATATACCTTTTGAAACCACTCAAACCACTCATACCTCATCTCTTAGATTTTTGTTTTTCTTCCGCCAAATCCATATGTACAAGATATTTATTGGATATATGTTCCCTATTGTTATGACACACTAATAATAGAGTGTCCCAATAATAGAGCGAAAAAGTTTCACACTGACGAGTTTACCAATTACCACATATCAACTCGATCGAGTATATATAAAAATAAATCAAAATTGTGACTCAAATAGTTTAGTTTGATTTTCTAATGTGATGAATTCTAAAAAGTTGAGATTACAGTTAGACATTATCAAGGAGATCTTAATTTTTAATCTTATGATTAATTTATTATAAAAATTGAAAAAGTAAATGTTAAGAGTTGTATTTTTGTTTTTAGTTTTGAGATGTCTTTATTGGTAGGATCTTAAGTTGGGGATCTTACCAAAAAATAATTTTTAAAAAATTAAATAAAATTAAAATATGTAATTTAGAAACTTTTATAATTATTGCAAATTTATAATTTTAAACATATATGAGATACAGTTTATAAGATAAATAACATAAAGCACAATAGTTTTAAATTTGATTTCTAGAAAATTTTGTCCTTATATGCTCGACCAAATCCTTCTATAATTTTTTATGCATAGCTCGATCCCAAAAGCGAGTTCTTGTGGCCATCATATCGACAAAAAGTACTTCCATACACAAACTAACCCTTTAATAGTTCTTTTTGTATATTTGAGAATGAGTAAAAAACAACATATCTTACAATTTTTTTTCAAATATTTATTAGACCTTCTAAGAGTCTTAAGAAACCAAATTAGATTATAACTTTTTTTAAAAAACTTTTATTGGATGGTATTGGTAGGTTGATACTGGCATAACAAGAACAACATTTACAAAAAGTTAAGACAATCTAAAATACATTAAATTAAAAGGTCCTAAATAGTTCCAATGTTTTAATTTTTTAAATTAAAATATTAAAGCATGAAACAAGAAAATGGATTATCGAAAGAAATTAAAAGATAAATGTTGAATAAGAACACATAACAAAAAAAAAGAAGAGAAAGCCTTCCACCAATCGTCCATTGACACATTTCGTATCTTAGCCACAATTTTAGATCTTAATTAAAATCCAGATCTTAACATAAATCATCATTTACCATTTAAATTAAATAAAAAAATATCAAATATTAAGCTAAGAATGAGCTAAGATCTCATTGATAACTAGTGATGGACCCGCACGTACGTGCGGGATTATTTTTACAAAATTACGATTTTTTAAGTAGATGTTAAATTGGTAAAATTTTGTTATATGAGTTTATTTGATAAACTATATATAGACATACAGCTGTAAAATATAGATATTGTATTATATAATACAATTTTAAAATTATTTAAATGAATGAAAATGATAAGTGATATTACGTGTTTATTTATTAAACTAATCAAAATATTTCTTACTGTTTGCTTAGAGATGTTAAATCGGATTTGGGTTTGGCTTTAGTTTGAATTGTTTTATGTATAGTTTAGAATGGAAAACCCGTCATGTCCCTTTCCGTCTCGTCCTGACCCGTCCCGCCCTGTCCCGTCCCGTCTTCTATCTGTCATAAAATTGCTGTCCCATAATCGTTTCTTTTTAAAACATAATCATTTGCCAATGTTTATTATAAGAAATTTGGTAAAAGATTTAGACTGGATACCCGTATTCCTCCTTTAAATATTTGGTTTTATCAAACTAATAAAAATCTAATTATCAATCTAAGTCACATGCTCCCACAATTTTCATTCACAAGGCACTGTCTGTAAACATAGCATACACAATCCTTGTTCGATTTTTAATTTTATTGATCTTTTAGTTTCATCTTTATTTCTCATTACTTTCTTCAATTCAAAGATTCATGTTTTAGCCTTTTTGTTTTCTAAAGATTTAGGTATTTCTATTTTTTAATACATGGATTTATTGTAGTTTTGTTATCCGAAGTATACGTTATCTTCTTGTACCCGTCATTTCATGTCTAAATATTTGAAATAAATAGGAAAGTGGAAATTAAATTTAGCAATTTAATTTACATGTCCCCGTATCGTACTCCTAGTTTTATATTTGAAAGTTGAAAGTGAATTTAACTTTATGACCGTATCTCATAACAATTATATCTAATCATGTTTTTTTTTATGAGAAATAGTTCAGATAATGTTTGTTTTCGAATTATTTTGTTTTCGAATTATATGTTCCCGTCTCGTTTCCATTCCTATAAATTTATATTTATTTTTAATAAATAACACCATTTACATGTAACTAAATATAATTTTAATATATGTAAAATTTCATATAATCTTCCAAAAGTAGAGATTTATACGTCCCAAAGCTGAATTTTGTTCAATATTTTGAGATTTTGAGAATTAAATATAACTACCAATTTTTTTATTTCAACCGCTTATCCAAAACTTCTATATCATATTTTTCAAGGATAGTTTAAAATTGTACGTATATGTGAGATAATGTTTGTAGATATTTATTTATTTAAAAATCATTTATATCATACCAATTTGACATTTTATTTGTTTTCAATTAGATTAAACCATAAAAATATAATTCATTTATTATTTAAAAATTGGTAATAAGTCGTTAAAATCATTGAAATGTGATACATCTACTTGTTATTTAGTTTTAATATTAATAGAAATTCTATATGTTATTATCTCAAAATGTAGTTTATAATTTGATAAAACAATTATATCATATTTGATAATAGTAATGATATGCAAATTGCCAATGGATGAAGATTTATTTTCTTAAGATTGTGTGAAATTAATAAGAAAAAAGAAGTTTAGAATAATCATTAACTAACTGTTTGACCAAATAAAAATCATTAACTAATTGAATTAATGATAAATTTTGTAGATATCTTTTGTGCTATAATTGCTAGATTGCTTTTTGAATATGAATATTTTTTTCTGTGAAAATAAGAACTGGACAACCAACTTTCAATTATTTAATATATGGATTCAAGTTTTTGAATATAAATTTTGTAAATAACATATTATTTTAATCTTTTTTTACTTTTCTAAAAAAATGTTATCCTTGTTTTTTTAGATATATGATTATTTTGATTTATTGGATTTCATTCTATATAAATTATTAATTTCGAAATTATATTAAAATAATAAATTAATATTAGATATGTTTATCTGTATTCAAAATAGATATTTTTACATATATTTAATTTTGAATTTAATTGTCCACTTTTTATGATAAAAGATTATTATGATTTCCATAAATATAGATTGTTTTTGTTTTGTTTTTTTTTTTTTTTGCTGTCATTAATTCTGTTTGGCAACTGGAATATATTTAATGAATTTTAAAAAAAAAAATTGGGGGTTTTTGGCTTCAAGTTGTCCTTCCCAATTAATAGTATAGATGTTGGTCTTAGTGGATATATGAGAATTTGAAAAAGTGAATTCGTATATAACATTTAGGTGGGACGACCTTTAGTTTAATGTAAGGCAAAACAATTAAGAAGATGGATAAAGACAATGACGGAGAACAGAAGATAATGACCTAAAAACCTAATTTGGTACTACAATGTCGCATGTCTAGGACCTATTCAGTTTTTTGGGATCACAATCGAATCTGAAAAGCAAAACATATCAAACTACTTGGAATAAACAGATATATCAACTATGAAAAATATATATCCGTAATTAAGTCTACACAATGAGTATACTATGCCATAAAACTCGTCTATTTTGCCTCATTACAACCATAATTAATGATTTTTAGCCACCAATAAACTGGTTAATTTGTCAAGATTTATGAGAAAAATATCTCAAAATGAATAAATAAAAGATCCACATATATATATATATATATATATATACATTACTATTGTTAGTATTTAAAATTCCGAAATCTGATACTCAAAAATGTTAATAGAGTATAGAGCTACTACGATCAAAATCAAGATAATGATAAAGTCTTTTCTTATTTCAATGTAGGATATTTACAAAAACAACAAAACAAAACTTGAGAGGGGGAAGAAAGTTACGTGAGTCACATGTTATAAAGCATGGATAGATAGTGGTGGGGAACTAAAAGCATTTGAGAATTTGATTAGCTCCATTGAATTAAGTGAGAGTAGTGGAAGAAGATCAAAACTAAAAGTGTATTGGATCTGCCACTACACTCTTTTTAGTTTTTAGCATGAATGGGCTAAAAGAGGTGATAGTAGTTGGTATCGTTGTCGGAGATTGTCGTACGTACCAATTAAAAACACTCATGACTCAATGATTAATTGGAAATCTTATGTATGATTACATGGTGTCACGGGCGAACCACATACACATGTTTGAACTTTGAATGTGACTGATTCGATTTGTGACAATATACTATGTTTTATGGTTATATAAGATGTACTTAACAGTGTGGTGGCCCTTCGGGGAGAAATCTACTCTGAAGCACTTCGGTGCGTTTCTACCGGGTTGACCGGATCAGCCGATAAGGTTTATCAAAAAAAAAATGTATTTAACAAGGAAAATATATCGATAATATGGGGTAAATTAAGGGTTAGACTTTAGTATGACTATATGTAATTATAGTACGGTAATTGTTTAGAGTTGAGATAATATGGGGTAAATTAAGTGTTAGACTTTAGTATGACTATATGTAATTATAGTACGGTAATTGTTTAGAGTTGAGTTAAGTGGTTAACACTCCCAAATTCGATTCCAACAAATCGCGTAGTCTCATATAATAGAAACTATATTCTTTTTTTTTATCTATTTTATAGTTTTAAAATATAGTTTTGGTATGTTATATTAATCTCTTTTTAAAAACCTATATTTGTAATGAGGTTTGAATATAATTACGTATTCTTAGTAATGTTGTTTTAATAATTTACCTTCTTTTTAATAAATAGGGGATTAAGGAATGACGAATCTTGTTGACCTAACAGATATACAAAATTAGAAAAAGTTATTATAAAATATATTCCGTAGTTAAACTTTTTTTTTTAATATGATCGAGAGTTACAATAAAAGATGGCCTTTCAACGTGGGAAGCTCGTCTTTGGTATGGGCCAAAGTCTCAACTCCTAAGCACACCTTCATTACGTAGATTTCAAATTTTAGTTAGTTGGGCCAGGCCCAGTAATTTTCTCATTCCATGATTTATTACGAAGGCCACGTGGAGGATGAATAAGTAACGATCTCTTTGACCTATTCAAAATTTTCAAACTTCGAAAAACTAATGAAAAGAGTCGTTGTCCTTTGACTTGTCTCTCTCTCCCTCTCTGTCTCTCTTCCCTGAGATTTTTCAAAGCTTCGAACTTTCAACAATATCATTATTTTTATTTTTGCAGAGACGATCAATCTCATCTCTAAAATCTTGATTTCGTAAAAGATGGCTAATGAAATTGATTCAGCGACAGATCCAGGTGATACTAACATCAAAGGAGTTCTTGTTCATGGAGGAAGATATTTTCAGTACAATGTCTATGGAAACTTGTTCGAAGTCTCTAATAAGTATGTTCCTCCTATTCGACCTATTGGTAGAGGAGCTTATGGCTTTGTCTGGTACGAAACTTCTTTTACTTACTCTGTTTTTTTGTTAATCTACTACATAGTACATACTATGTCTGGATTTGGTTAAAGAAACTGAGTCATTGGTATATGTTGAAGAATCATACTTTTCTAATTGATTTGATGGGTTTTTGAATCAGGGTTGTCTGAAAAATTTGATCTTTTTTTGGATTTAAGAAAGGTTTTGTCCACCACATCTTGAATTGGATGAATCTTATGATATTGGTTTGTGTTTATGCTTCTGCTTGTGGAGTTATTGATTTGGTCTTTATGTTTTGGATGTCTTTGAAAGTGAAAATGTTCTTGTTTCTTTGATTGTGTAATGCTATGAATCAAGAAGCTACAAATCTGGTGTGTGGATACATCTTATTGTGTAATGTTAATTGTTATTGATTTGGTTTAGTTTGTAGAGTGCAAAAGCAAATTGATTTCATGAGATTGTTGGTATGTTTTTCTAGTGCTGCAGTAGATTCAGAGACACACGAGGAAATTGCGATCAAGAAGATAGGTAAAGCCTTTGACAATAAAGTAGATGCTAAGAGGACGTTGAGAGAGATTAAGCTACTTCGTCATTTGGAACATGAGAATGTAAGGTTTCTAATCTATTTTCGCGCGGAAGCCCTTCAAACGATTAGCGTTTTAGCGCTAAAGGTGGTCTTCAATTTCTGCAGGTTGTTGTTATAAAAGATATCATCAGACCACCAAAGAAGGATGATTTTGTAGATGTTTATATAGTTTTTGAGTTGATGGATACTGATCTTCATCAGATTATTCGATCAGACCAATCTTTGAATGATGATCATTGTCAGGTTATAACATTCATAACTTTGTCTTTTCGATTTCTTAACTCAACTATGTCTTATATTATGGTTGATTGAATCATGACTCATGAGTAATGTTACTCTTTCTCCTTGTGCAGTACTTCTTGTATCAGATTCTTCGTGGACTCAAATATATTCATTCAGCTAATGTCTTACATCGTGACCTCAAACCGAGTAACTTGCTTCTGAATTCGAACTGTGATCTCAAGATTACTGACTTTGGTTTGGCAAGGACGACATCTGAAACAGAGTTCATGACAGAGTATGTTGTAACTCGATGGTACCGAGCACCAGAGCTGCTTCTTAATAGTTCTGAGTACACTTCTGCAATTGATGTCTGGTCTGTTGGTTGCATATTTGCTGAAATCATGACAAGGGAACCTCTATTCCCGGGAAAAGACTATGTCCATCAGCTTAAACTTATAACCGAGGTATGTTCTGTTTCGAAAAGATGCTGGAAACTTCTATCTGTGTTTGCAATATGTTTATGAGTTGTGTTATGCGGTTTATACAGTTGATAGGATCGCCTGATGGAGCAAGCCTCGAGTTTTTAAGAAGCGAGAATGCGAGAAAATATGTTAAGGAACTACCTAAGTACCCAAGGCAGAACTTTTCTACTAGATTTCCTAGTATGAGTTCTACAGCTATCGATCTACTAGAGAAAATGCTTGTGTTTGATCCAAAAAGCCGTATCACGGGTATGATTAGAATACTCTCAAACAAACTGAGATTGCATATGCATGATGAATCCTTGATCATGGTCTTTATCTTGCAGTTGAGGAAGCACTGTGTCATCCTTACTTGTCAGCTCTACATGACCTTAACGATGAGCCTGTTTGTTCCAAGCAATTCAGTTTCGACTTTGAGGACCCGGCTTCTACTGAAGAAGAGATAAAGGAGCTAGTATGGCTCGAATCTGTGAAGTTTAATCCTCATCCAACCATTTGAAACAGAATTCAAGAAGAGGGCATGCAAATATTATACTCTGAAATTGAGCAAAGTGTAGTAGTTAATGTCCATTCTTTTATCAGGTTACCTTTTACCTTAACTTTAATTTCTCGTAATACCAATATTAAAACAAATAAATTAGCATTGAGTTTCTGTGTTTTACCATATCTTATTTTATATGTAAACATTGCTCTTCTTGTTTAGTTAATGAAACCATTCTTAATATTACTTGTTGAAAAAAAAAAAACTGGCAACATTTTACGTTAATGTTTGAGAACTAGATTTTAACCCGCGAGACGACATTCTAAAATGTATTCTTTTTATTAGCTTTGTTTAGTACATAAGAGTGTACTATTATATTTTAATTATTAATTCCATGATTTAAATCGTAGAATATTATATAATAATTTATTTTTTATATAATCGTAATTTGATCAAATTAATTAAATAAGTATAATATTTAAAATAATGAAATGATATTGACATAATATTCGTTTACATAGTATAATTTTCATATTAAAATATTTTGTGAGTTATACTATAGTAAACAACCCGTAAAAATATCTATAATCATAATTATGTAAATTATAAGCCGTTCCATCACATGATCCGTGCTACGCAATTATCAATAATACTTTAATACATCCATTTTTTGTATCGTTTGAGTAATATACATTCGTTTCTAAAAAAATATAGAAAAAAGGTAAGGGTTTGATTATAAAAATATTATAAAATAAAAGGGTATAACACAAAAGATACTTCAAAAATGTTAATATAGATATACAAATGATAGAAAAAATTCTGATAACATTTTATGACCAAAGCCTCTTATATAATTTGATCTCATCGTCATGTTGTATCACGTTATTATGAAGTGGGAAGACTAAAAGAAGTGCACGATGCGTTTATTTATCCTTAACCACTCCTCCAAGTACCATATCGAGCTCTTGTACCTTTTGGTCATGAGTCAATGACTCATGATCACAAGTGCGATCATTGATGACTCTCGAGCCTCGACAAAAAAGTCTATCAACTTCATCTCCTGACTCTATTCTAGTAATATTCTCATCATCTAGAAAGACATTGATCCCACTCCTTCGTAAAGCGGCTCTTAGAAAGCTGGAGAACTTGTTGCGGAGCTCTGGACTCATGAAACTTATGTACACTTGATGTTGCGGCACAATCTAGATCGTTAATTACAATCATTAGTAAAATAATATGTGTATGATTCATGGACAATATATATTTCAATTTATAAAATTGTACAACTATAGGTAGTTTTGGATTTAAAAGGGTTACGTACATGTGATGAGGAAATGTTGTCCAGCATTGCCTTAACCTTCTCGACGATTTCATTAACGAAGGTTGCTTGGTTGCTTCCAAAGCAAATAAGAAAAAACTTAGTTGAGAATGATACATAACAATGTCGCAATGGAAGACACTGTTTGTCTGTTTCCAAATAAGACTTTGAAAGTTATATGACTTTTATTCGTTGTTAATCTGAAAACATAAATCACTATATTCGTTGTTAATTATGTTTAGTCGTTGACAATTAAATGTGGTGAGCTAGACCACTGTTTTCGTATTTTCACATTTTGAAAATGTGAAACCATCACTTTATACCTCTTTATAGGAGATTAATCAAGCTTTAATTTTGCATTTTAATAATTTGAAAATTTATTATACTATAGTATTATGAGTCACTACAAAAAATAATCATTGTGTCACTTGTTTTGAAATTTTCTATTTTCTATTACCGATAATTGATACAAAATAATTTTGCGTCTATTAGATAAATGACTCTGAAAATAGTGACACCTTTTTTTTTATCAATTGATGTAATTATACATAATATTTACCTTGGTTGTGGTAACCGATGTTAATTTTGGGTCAATTAGAGATAAATGATGTTACTTTACATATTTTCTAATTCTCAATCATTTTTTTAGGATTATATAGTATTTTTCATTGCCTACTTAATAGTAGTTATATATAGGGTTTATTAATGTAATCTTGTACTAGTTACTCAGTATAATAAACTTCAATTATACCTTCAAGATAAATAAAAAAAACCATATTGTTTAGTTAAAATGAATCAAACCTCTCCTTTTTATATGTCAAACCCAAGCGAGACGCAACCAAAATCAAAGCTCTCCTCCATCCCTCGAATCTCTCCTCTGCATCCTCCCATGCCTTCTTACCAATCTGCCTAGCCTTTCTCCGTTCTTCGTGCTCCAACCGCAGTAGATTGTATTCGAAAACACTTCTTGTTGCCTGAAGTTTAACGTGACAAGTCTCAACCTCGAAAAAGATAGGACAAGAATCAAGCTTATTAAGACCCATTTGTCTCTCTATCTCCACCAACTCGTCCAAGCACCAAGTGGATTCAGGATAGTTCTCGGAGAAGATCACGACAGCGATCCTAGAGTTTCTTATAAGCTTCAAAAGATTCTCATCGATGGGTTTTCCCCTAGGTGCGTCCTCGTCCGTTACCACGTTGATATTGTTCTTTATCAATGCGTCTTTGAGGAAGCTGAAGAAGTTATGGCGAACGTCGCTTCCTCGGAAACTTACGAACACTTGATGCTGCGGTGGAGCTGTTGTGCCATGCATGGCCAAGACCTTCTCTTGATTCATTATTTAGTTCTTATGTTTTCGTTATCGCAATAGAAATGGTACTCTTCGACCTCGCTCGTTCCTTATAAAAACGTTAATATTATGTTTTTTTCTCACATTAGTAAACCAATAAGTTTTTTGGTAGGTTTTTTCTTACTATTTTACGTAAATTTTCACTAATTTTCCAGTTATAAGTTACGCGTTATTGGGATTTTCTTATGCAGAACATAAGATTATATAAACCTCAATAGTCAAATAGTAATGATGTGATCATTAGAGAAAACAAGATTTTAGTATGATCGGTTAATTGGCAATCCATTATAAGTTTATAGATATATACTTGACTTTGACCATTTCTTGTAATAAGTATCTTTACCAAGTAATTCTTGTATTGCTTTGTTTTATAAATTTACTATATAGTTATCAAAAGATAAGATAAGAACAACCATTCAACCCCGATTGGTAATAGCATGATGAAATGATGCTTCAATCATACAAATATTCTATCCATACAAAATATCCAGAGAATAATATTTGATAAACCGTATAAAAAATATAAAATTTATGTTTTTTACTTAGAATATATAAATAAATGGATATATAGTTACTTATTTTTATGATAAGTAGTAATATTACATTCTGCCATTTTGTAAAATAGTGTATCTAAAACCGTACAATTTTCGTTTTATGTAATTTTCATTTTTTATGAGTGTTTTTCTACAAATATTATGCGGTAATTTATGTCAATTTACGATTATACAATGTCATCAATTAGAGTTATTTTCTTAAATTACAATTTCCCTGCTATACATCTTCCAGTAAAAAAGTGTTTTCTTTGGGGAGAAAAATACCATTTATTATTATTAGTTTTCTAAAATTACCTTTAAGAGTCAAAAATCTAAATTATAAAAGAAGAAAAAAACCAACAACAACTGGTTCCTAAAAACTTCAAAGCAAAATTCGAGTTAAACACAAATTTTGGATCATTGCATCGATTGTTGCCTGTAATTTGTCGGGGAAAACATTGAAAAGATAACACCCGACCGCACAAACGGTCCAATACCATCAAACATCATTAGAAAGAAAACAAATTTCTAATACTTTATTTGTTGTCATGTAACAAATGTTGCAAGTTGGCATGTGTCCTAACTACTTAACCTGTCAGCGACTCAAGAAACCAAGCAGCTTCCCACTAGCAACAACACCATAATCTGTTTCTTCTCTCTACCACTCACTCTATATAAAGCACCAACATTGAAAGATATTTAGAAAGATCTCACCAAGCTTCTAAAGGGTACGTGCTAGAAGAGAAAAGAAACAGGTTCACTTACTTTTATTTTGCACTATGATGAATGGAGAAGAGCTAGTGAAAGGAAGCTCTGGTGTTTCCGTGAAGAGAAGGAGACAAGGAGATCACTCTGGAGAACTTAGAATGATTCCAAAACGCGGACAGATCAAATCGCGGATCGCTGCAACCGCTTTGCACTCTATTATTTCTGTTTTGTCTAGGTCTAGATGATGGGACATCATCACTAAATTCATCATGATGTATGTTATGTTTAGATATCCAAAGATCCTTATGTGTGTTTATCTTCTTTCTTTGGTTTTTAGTTTTTACATAGCTTTATACTTTTGGATCATGATCATCTTCTTTCTTGGCCTTTATGGTATGAATCTTATTTTTTGTTGAGAGCTGAATTATTGTGGCTTAATTAGTATTATTTGTTTCATCCAGGTGCCTAGTTTCTACACCGTCTTAGAATAAATAGATTCGACGACAGAGTCAGAAAATAATACAAAGACGTTGAAAAAAACACCACAAGATTCGTCAGAAGCTAGCTAGCACATGTAAGTATAATGCTTACAGACACAAATGAATAAGTTATTTGATAAAGAAAAACACGTTGCTTCCTAGACTCCCACACAAACCGGCACTATGTCTGCGACCATTTCAATTATTATATACGTAAGATCTTTTATAATAATGTTTTGATGAATTAACATATAGTATGATAAAATAATAAATTTAATTCTCTTAAATACCAGAAAATGTGTATTTTTTCAAAAATATCATTATAAAGTTTATTTTCCAAAAATTCCATTAAATTATAATTTTTTTTATAAAAATGCCACAAAACTAAAACTTAAATATTTAAAATTCAAACTAAATTATAAATCATAAACACTACACTCTACCTCAAAAACTATATACTAAATATAAATAGTCAACCTAAACATAAGAAAAAAAATTCTACATCTTCAAAATTCAACTTTTTATGTTTATGCTATTTACAATTTTTGTAGTATTTTTGGAGTAGAAAATAATGATATTTTTGGAAAAAAAAACTTAAAATATGCTATCTAAGGGAATTTATTGATTTGGAATTAACTTAATACTGTATATATTTAAGAAAATTTCATAAAATAATAATTTGTTTGACAACATTTGGTTCAAATAATATCAAAAATTTATAACTATATACAAATTTTATTATAAAGATAATCAAGAAAAAATAATTAAAGACTCTGTTTTTTAATGTTTTTCTCTGCTTCTGTTTGTTTCCTCTGATTTATTTCTTTTGTACTCTTGGTTACTTCATTCTCTTCACCAAAAAATTCAGTTCACTCTTTTGAAGATGAATCTATAACCATTTTTCAAATAAACAAAAAATACTTATTTTGTTGTTACCTTCGATTTCATACCTATTTTGTATTGGTATATAAAAAAAAAAAACAATTAACTCAAAGAAAAGTACAACTTTTACATGGTCTAGTAATGACGTAATCAGAGCAAAACTCGACACGTAGACGAGTATGACCAACTACGGAAGCTTAGGAAACAACAGTAAAAGACCACACAAATTTGGTCTACACAACGTTAGCTTTAACTCAGAGAGAAAACAAAAAAAACCAAAAAAAACCCAAAAAAAAAAAAAAACTCAAAAAGACTCATCAGTTTCTTTTTTTCTTCTTACAAAACTACGGTTTTGTTTTTCCACAAATTCACATTTGTCTATATCTCACTGTGAATGAAAGGAAACAAGAAAGACTCATCGGAGAAACCCATATGGGATCGGACCTCATCGAATATATCCATGACCCGACCCGGTCGTTTAATGATCTGGCTCCTCCTCTTCATCTCCGTCACTTATATCATCTACACTCTCAAGATCGTCTCCACTTCACACCCTTGCCAAGAAGATCTTACCTCCTATGACTCCGACTCAATTCTTCATCATCAAAGACCCGCGAAAAAAGCACTCACGGTTCCGGTAACGGCGGCGGAGCACGAAGCCACCGATCTAAACCATGTGGTGTTCGGTATTGCTGCGTCGTCGAAGCTATGGAAACATAGGAAAGAGTATATCAAGATTTGGTTTAAGCCAAAGAAGATGAGAGGATACGTGTGGTTAGACAAAGAGGTAAAGATTAAATCAGACGCCGGAGATCAAGAAAACCTCCCGCCGGTGAGAATCTCCGGTAACACGTCGTCGTTTCGTTATACTAACAAGAAAGGACACCGATCAGCGATACGGATCTCGAGGATAGTTTCCGAGACGCTGATGAATCTTGATTCTGAGGAGAAGAAGAAGAACGTGAGGTGGTTCGTGATGGGTGATGATGATACCGTGTTTGTTACGGATAATCTAATTAGGGTTTTGAGGAAGTATGATCACGAACAGATGTATTATATTGGGAGCTTGTCGGAATCTCATTTACAGAACATTTTTTTCTCTTATGGAATGGCTTATGGTGGTGGTGGTTTTGCTATTAGTTATCCTTTGGCTGTGGCTTTGAGTAAGATGCAAGATCGGTGTATTCAGAGGTATCCGGCTTTGTATGGTTCTGATGATCGGATGCAAGCTTGTATGGCTGAGCTTGGTGTTCCTTTAACTAAGGAGATTGGGTTTCATCAAGTAAGTAAACTTTTTTATCTTGATCTTGTATTGTTGGTTTTGTTAAATTGGGTTATAGTGCTTACTTAGATTGGTTTGGCTTAAAAAGTCAAAGTTGATGATTAGTGAGTAATTAGCATTCATAGTAGTAATTGGTTAAGGTTTGTTAATGAGATTTAATGCTTTAGAAGAAGTCATGAGAGGTAAGTGTTGAATAGATTAAAGGTGAAAGCTTTCTTTTACATAAATCTAGATTGTTTAATGACTTCACATTCGTTTTATCTACTAGTAGTAAATTTTGGTAGATGTGTGAATCTTTATTGCAATGGAGTTTATTAACTTTAATAATTGACATTAATTTAGTGAATTTATGGAGATCCGAGTTCTGTGTCGCACTACTTAAACAGCCGGCCAAAAAGTTAACCATTGGAAATACCAATAAGCTTCGTTCGATAGAAAAAGAAAGGTAAAGGTGAATTGTTTAGTCTAATTAGAACGAATTAAAAAGTGATTAAAGCAGAATAATTCGAACACTTAAACAGAGTCAGTCTTTGTCCATAGTTAGATTCCGAGATGTCGGAATAAGACCCGTTTGGTCAGTTTTCAACCTTATAAAGTCTTAAAAGACTTGTGAGTTATGTTGTGACTCTCTCTTTTCCTCTACCCGCAATGTATAACACGTGAAAGCTACGCTCCTCTATTCACAGTTTTCATGGTTTTTGTAACAAGTTCTTTAAATTTTGTTAATTCAGTTTTTTTTTTGTATTTCATTTGTAGTACGACGTTCATGGGAACCTCTTTGGCCTCCTAGCTGCACATCCGGTAATACCGTTTGTATCAATGCACCATCTTGATGTTGTGGAACCGATTTTTCCAAACATGACTCGTGTTCGGGCCATTAAGAAACTAACTACACCGATGAAGATCGATTCGGCCGGGCTTCTCCAGCAATCAATATGTTATGACAAGTACAAAAGCTGGACGATTTCGGTCTCGTGGGGATACGCGGTCCAGGTGTTCCGCGGATCTTTTTCTCCTCGCGAAATGGAAATGCCTTCTAGGACTTTCTTGAATTGGTACAAAAGAGCGGATTACACTGCCTACGCGTTCAATACTAGGCCCGTGAGTCGCAATCCTTGCCAAACACCGTTTGTTTTCCACATGTCAAATGTGAAATTCGACCCGCAGTTGAATACGACGGTTAGCGAATACACGAGGCATCAGGATCGGCATCCGGCTTGCCGCTGGGATATGGCTAACCCGGAGGAGATCAACAATATAGTAGTCTACAAAGAACCGGATCCTCACCTATGGAGCAGGGTAAGTGAATAAAACTTTTTATATAAGAAATGAATTTTTATTTCTTTGGATTAATATGTTAATGCTTAGTGATTATTATGTTTTTTGGGCAGTCACCAAGAAGAAACTGTTGCAGAGTATTACAAACAAAGAGGAATAATACATTATGGATAAATGTTGGTGTATGTAGAGCAGGTGAAGTCACTGAAGTTAAGTAATACCAAATTTTGTAATAAAATGAATTTTGATAGAGAAAATATATTAGAGGCACCTTCTTAGGCTTTTTAATCATATGGTTTTTGCCAGCTAATTATTTAATTTTACTCCATATATCTTTATATGTTGTTTATTGCGTTCCAAGTCTCATTTTCTCCCATTGTTCACATGTGTGTGAATGATCTGGGTTGAAGTCATTGTGATCCATTTTCACAAATTTTTCTCTTTTTAAGCAAAACGTAAAGATCTTTTGGTTACTCCACAGAAGAAGATGATTTAGAAATAATCAGAATCATAAGCATAGGTAGATGCTAAATACGATGGTGTATCCATAATTGTAATTCCTAGCTTTACACAAATTTGAGTAGTCTTTTACCATTTCTGCTCTTTTTTTTTTCCAATACCTTAATAACTTACATTCTATTGTATCTTCTATTTCTAGGTTAGAGATTATGTAGATGATTCAAACGGTAGCTAGGATAATATGATTTACATCTTACTTGATTCAAAGAGTCTATGCCATTGCCACTACAAATTCTATATTTGCAAGCTAACTAGAATTAGACTTATCGCCACCACAAATTATATATTTGCAGGTGCTCTAGCTCTACGTTATTGGTTTCAAACACTTAGTTACTAAGTTTTTTTTTCTAAACTGTTTTTGTCGATTTAAAGTTCTAAAACATTCAGCTAAATATCATTTTTATCGGGGTTTTTTATGAATATATTTTAACATTCATACAACTAAAAGAAATATCTATATTTGCAAGCTAACTAGAATTAGGCTTAGGCAATCGGAATTTTAGGTCAGAAAATCAAAACCCATAGTAAAGACTTTCGTCGGCGTAAGATTTGGTAGCGTAGAGCGTCTCTGGGTAGGTTTGATCGGAGAAGAAAAAGCCGAGTAGCGGAGATTGGAATAATCGAAAACCCTAATTAGAAAAATACATTTTTTATTTGTTTAGGGGAAATGAGATCTACCAATGTATATGTGTAATGTATACACATGTGTATTTTTTTTTATTTTTTTTTTTTAGTTCAAAAAAAAAAATACACACGCGTCCAAAACTACGTCGTATTGTAACGGCACTAATCTAATGATTAAACAAAACATTTATTAGCTGGAGCGTTTTAACGGTAATAATAATTTTAAACAATAAAACAATTGACATTAACTTTTCTTCTGTACATCATATTGTAACGGCACATCATATTGTAACGGCTCTAGTCTAATGTCCTTTAATTTTTTGCTAAAATGAAATTACTTTTTAAAAGCTAATTTGACACATTTTTGCTCTTTTTTATATAACGAAAATGTAAAATTGGTTAATTGGACAAACAGGTACAAAGATGTTCATGATATAGGTGTAGAAACAGAGCTGAAAACAGAGCTATCACTATAAACAGAACAAATGAGAAGTTAACTTGCTAACCATGAATTCGTGACCTGAACCAGTGCTGAACCAGTCCTAGTAGCATTGTATTCTTATAACATCGCAACGACATGATTCAGGACTGAATCGTTTTCTCAATCGTGTGAGCAAGTTGCATACATGTGTTCGATATAGATTGTTGTGTTTCCCCTCATTACGTTCTCTCCTTATATAATACAACGTTGTTTGAAAAGCTAGCAGAAGCAGAATATAGTAGTTCCCTTCATACGAACGTGTGGTCCGACGATGAAATAATTTTGACACATTAATTTTTAGTTACAAAACTTAGATTATTAAATAAGAAAGCATATGTAATTTACTGTTACTATATAAGCTTTTCTAATATAATAATAATATTAATTAAGATGAAAAAAATAATATTTTCTTTTTTCAGTTGTCTACAGTAACATAAAATGACAAAAACCACATGGAGATGCGGGGTATCGATCCCCGTACCTCTCGCATGCTAAGCGAGCGCTCTACCATCTGAGCTACATCCCCAATTTGCTATTTAGTTTATCTTAGAAGTACATATAAATATATGGATGAAAGAGGTTTTTTTATTTTGTAAAAATCAAAAATAATAACAGATTCATTCACCAAATTTTTTTAAAAACTCACATAAATCTCTCAAAACCGTAAATTTCCTAAATCCCCTAATAAAATCTTCAAAAATCATGATTTTGAATACAACCCCTTTTAGAACATTCTACAAGTTGGTGAAGCATCATATCTACAGATTCACGATGATTTTCATTGACTTTTAATCTAGTACACTGTACATAATAAAACTCTACTTACGTACACAAGACCAAAGATCTCTCCTTTGTTTTGTTGTGTCATCACAGTCTATTTAAAAAAAACACCTTATTATAAGACCTACCATTGTTGATTAATCAAATATCTTCAGCCGCCTTATTCAATTATAGATTACGTTTCATATAATATATATACTTATACTCATACTTGTCTCTTGTATCTCTCTCTCTCAGTACTCATGGGTCTTCTAACAGATTTCAAACAACTTCAGATTCCAGGGTACGTAATAAAGACACTTTGCGTCATTGGTTTCTTTAGAGACATCATCTATGCTCTTTGTCCTTACATCGGTCTACCTAGTTTTCTTGACCACTATACCTCTCGTCCCGACACGAGTCCGAAGCCGAAGAGTCTTGTCGAAGATTTAGAGTTAGTCCCTGTGGTTCGTATCTCGGATCTTTTGACCGTTCCTGATGATTGTTGTACGGTGTGTTTATCCGATTTCAAGCCTGACGATATGATTAGGCAGCTTCCAAAGTGTGGACACGTGTTCCACCATCGTTGTTTAGACCGTTGGATCGTTGGGTGTTGCAAGATGACGTGTCCTATTTGTCGGAACCGGTTCTTGTCGGATGACAATTACACCGAGATGGATTCTGATTCTGTTTCGGTTCAGTGGTGATCAAGAAGTGGAATATATCAACTAATAGTGGTTTTTACTTTTTAAAACACTATATAATATGTAGCATCCGATGAATATAAAAGTTCTGGATAAAATTTTGGATTTGTATAATGTTTATTCGAAAAAAATATGATAAGACATCATTATCTGTGAATGATACTTTTCGTCTCTATCATATATATACACAAGTAAACGAGTTAGGGTTTTTTTTCTTCCTCTTTGCTCAGAGGTTTCTAGAATCAACAACAATGGTGGAAGACCACAAGCACGAAGAATCGATCTTGGAGAAACCTGTTCATAAGGTTCTCGGTGGTGTAAAACGTATGGATCTATCTCTATATCTTCGAATTGCACTCTGTTTTTGCTAGGTTTAGTATCTTATATAGTGACTTTGCTCGATTGAGTAGTTGACATTGTGATTTTGCTCTTCTTTGAAACTGAATTTGAGTGTGTATTTGTAATTCTTGTATTTAGCTGTCTGTTTTGGTCGAACATAAGCTAAAAATTTTGAAAAGACTCAGAAACTTTGCTTAAAATCTGCATTCATTATTTGCATGTAGCTGCTGATATATTCCTTTGGAGGAACAAGAAGGTATCTGGTGGAGTCTAATTGGTGCTATAACTGCGTCTTGGGTATTATTCGAGTTAATCGAATACCATTTTCTCACTTTGCGATGGCTGCTCTCGCAGCATTGTTCTTGTGGTCTAATGCTTGTACCTTCATCCACAAGTAAGTTTTTGAAACACCCTTTCCATGTTTGAGTATGAGATAACGATGCATCAAGTGCTTGATTTAACTGATTATTTGTTCTCAGGGCAACTTCTTGACATTGTTCTATATTGGTAATGATTCATACGCATCTTATTGCTTTTAACCTGACAGGAATCTCACTTGTCTAGCTTGATACTTAGCCTTAGTTTTTTTGGTTTTATTGTTTGTTTCCAGCTACTGTCCTTCTCTTCACAATTCCTGTGATTTACGAAAAGTATGAGGACAAAGTAGATGCCTTTGGGGGGGAGAAAGCGATGAAAGAAATCAAGAAGCAATACGCAGTACTCGATGAGAAGGTTTTGAGTAAAGTCTTGAGCAAGATTCCAAGAGGAGCTCTGAACAAGAAGAAGGATTAAGGAATGTAATAAGTTACAACTCATTGGAAATCAATGGTTCAAAACATGTATTGTTGGAAAGCTTCTGTTGGTTGATAAAACCCTTTTGGTCTTTTGTTATTAATTATGTCCATTATAAACTTGGGTTTTATTTCAACGAAAAAGATTTAGAGTATGAGATGGATGCTAAATATTGTTGTTGGTATGTACTTACTTCTATCAGCTTTCCATTATGGTATTCGTCGTGTCAATCAATATATGATAAATCCCACAAATAATAAACTAAAGTCGTAACAATTTTATTTTCCATTAATTTAAAAAACGGGTATATTTGTATTTCACTTTTTTCAAAAATGTTAATTTTCGTTAAAAATGGAAACATATCAACTTTTTAGTTTGTTTGCTGACAAAAAAAAAAGGAATATATCAAGTAAGTTGGTTTAAGCCCGATAAGGTTTAGTGAGGCCCAATAATTTCTCTTCACAACGGTCACTAAGTATCGTCTCTTTATATATTTTGTTTGATAATGAATTGTTGCAGATGGTTTTCTCATTAATTTATACTTTTTTTTTTGAGTTTTTTTCCTTTTTCGCTCTCGTTTTTTCTTGTTTCATTGGAGCGCTTCAGAGTTTTGTTATCGAAGGCTATCATCATCGGAGTTTTGGTAAAGGCTATCATCATCGTCATCGTCATCGTAAGTTTTCTCTTTTTGAGATTTTTGTTTTCATTGATTTTTTAAGGATTTAACTTTCTTGATTGTGTTTTTTCTTGGGTTTAGAACTTATATTGTTCAGATTCAAACTCCTATTTAAAGAAAACAAAGAATTTTGCGATTCTTAGATTCAAAATCTCCTCTTTTGAAATTTTCGATTAGGGTTTGTTGTTGTTTTAGATTTTGGTTTTAAATCAAATTTCATTATCTATGGATCTTAGATTCAAATTCTCCTCTTTTAAAATTCGTAACTGCGATTAATCTTTGAATGCATGGCTTTGTTTTTCGATTCTTTGTTTCAAAATCTCCTTTTTTATAATAATTTGTAATTGCGATTAAAAACCCCTCTTTTTGTCTTAGGGTTTCTATCTAACTCTGTCGATGATTGACGCTATGCCCACACCATCACTGAGGTATTTCTTTAAAAACTTTAATTATTTGTTTGAAAGTTTTTAATTTTGACTAAAAAACCCAGAAAAAAGGGACGACAACACATATAATTGTTGTATGCCTGGTTCTAACTTGGGGAAACTGTTCTGTATCATCTACAATGTCTAACGCAAGCAGACAAAGATCTATCTTGAAGTGGTCTCTGAATCAAGTAAGCCTTGTCTAGTTATGTATCCAAGATTAATGAATTCAATATCTTGGATCAAACTTGGCAAGCATGACCAGATAAAACTTCATTATATATCTCACGTATGTAAGACTTGTCTTTTGATATTATTGAAAACCCAAAAGAAAGGGACGTCAACATATGTGCTTGTTGTATGTCCGGTTTCTAACTTGGGGAAATTGTCCGATATAACACAAGCAGACAAAGAGATATATTTTGAAGTGATCTTTAAATTAAGTAAGACTTGTCAAGTTATGTAACCAAGATTCATGAATTCAGTATCTTGGATCAAACTTGGCAAGCATGATCAGATAAAACTTCACTATATATCTCACATATGTAAGACTTGTCTTTTCATTTTATTGAAAACCCAAGAGATAGGGACGGCAACACATATGATTGTTGTATCTCCGGTTTCTAACTTGGGGAAATTGTCACGTCTATAATGTTGCCTAACACAAGCAAACAAAGATATATCTTGAAGTGGTTTCTAAATCAAGTAAGACTTGTCAAATATGTATCCAAGATTCATGATATCAATATCTTGGATCAAACTTGGCAAGCATGATCACATAAAACTTCATTATATATCTTGCATATATGCCTTTAAGGTAATTCAAGTTGTCTGCTGAGACTTTATATCTAGCTGAGCTGGGATAGCATATGGTATTCAATGTTCTGCATATGTTCTTGGAGGAAAAAAATGAAATGTCCTTTATTAAGGCTTCAATGATCTGCTTAATCTAATGATTGGAGACATGGATTCAATAATCTGCTTAAAGATAAGAATGATAATGTTCAATGATCTGCATATTGATTAGAGGAGAAATGTATTTCAATGTTCAATGATCTGCTAAAAGCTGAGCTGGGACAGCATAAGATATAATCTGCTTATTGATTAAAGGAGAAATGTCTTTTTAAGGAGACTTGTCTAATGATGGTGTTACAGAGATTGGCAAAATTCAATTTTCTGCCTAAGTATAAGAGTATATCTAGCTGAGCTGGGACAGCATGATGTAAAATAATATTCAATGTTCTGCATGGGATGGAGGAGGGGAAAAAATTCAGTCTTCTGCTGAAAGATAAAATGCTAATGTTCAAGGATCTGCATATTGACTGGAGGAGAAATGGATTTTTAAGGAGGCTTGGCAAAATTCAATGAAACTATATGTAGCTGAGCTGGGACAGCATGATGTAATAATATTCAATGTTCTGCATGGGATGGAGGAGGGAAAAAAAATTCAGTCTTCTGCTGAAAGATAAATGTTAATGTTCAATGATCTGCATATTGACTTGAGGAGAAATGTTTTATAAGGAGGCTTGTCTAATGATGGTGTTACAGAGATTGGCGAAATTCAATGAAACTCGATATCTAGCTGAGCTGGGACAGCATGATGTAATAATATTCAATGTTCTGCATGGGATGGAGGAGGGGAAAAAATTCAGTCTTCTGCTGAAAGATAAAATGCTAATGTTCAATGATCTGCATATTGATTGGAGGAGAAACAAATTGTTAAGGAGGCTTATCTAAAGATATATTGGGTGTCCAATGATTTGCTGAAATCTATGTCTAGCTGAGCCTGGACAGCATATGATATAGTAATATACTCAATGATCTGCATATTGATGGAGGAGAAATGGCTTCTTAAGAAGGCATGTTTAATGATATATTAAGAAATTGTCCAATGATCTGCTGAAATCTATGTCTAGCTGAGCCTGGACAGCATATGATATTGTCCCGTATGTCTACAATACTAGTAAGTTCATTTTTCCGAAACCGAAGGTAAGTTTATTTCTCTTTTGTTCATATTTCTAGCAAAAGTTAGGTAAGTGAAGAACTAACCGACTTATTGTAATATGTACTAATCACATCTTTCTGTTGACCTTTTCTTAACAGGGGAATTGAGTTTCTGCAGGAAGTCAGTTTAGGGTTCATATTCTTTTCCGATTTGATCAGGTACATTATCCTTCCCTAAACTAAGTTATGATTTTCACAAGAACTTCCCTTTATATAGTTTGTCATTCCTTGGCTGAATCTTTCTTTTGACCAGGTAAAGACTGATAACTGTTTTGCAATGAGTTATTAGTTAGCTTGTCCTTTTAGATTTGTGTCTCAGGTAAGGTTTGACTTCTCCCTTTGATTTTCCAATAGTATTATGTTATGGGGTTCGTTTGAATTATCATAGTAGGAGTTGTGGAAGAGTGCTCTCTATACTCTTTATACGAAAAGTTTAGTTTATGCGGTGACTTTTGGAGTTCATAACAGGATAAGGTGAACAAGTTTGGTGCTCTCTTCACATCTATACTTTGACTTATAAGAGATTAAAAAAAAAAAAAAGCTATGGTTTCTCAGGTACGCCCTTGTCTTTACATTGCTTCTCTGATTTCATAACTCTATAATACTCTTTATAGGAATAGTTTAGTTTCTGTGGTGGCTTTTGGTTTTCATAACAGGATAAGGTGAAACAAGTTTGGTGTTCTCTTCAACACTATTGGCGAGCAAGAAAATAACTTTGGTTTCTCAGGTACGTCCTTGTCTTTACATTGGTACTACATTTGAATTTTGGAATGACATGACTCATGAGTTTGTCTTAGGTTTGAGTTAGTCGTTTCTTGCTTTGAGAAAGCCAACAAGAAATGTAATGAGTAGAGCACGAGGTACATATATTTAGCTGTAGAGAGAAATTCTCATGATTGTTTTATTTTTGGTCTGGCCATTGAAGAGAAGACATATCACTGAAACCAACTTCTCTTTGCCTTGATTCATTACAGGAAACCAAGTTATTGCAGGAATGGAGTTTTTGAGGATTGATTACATGGTTCCCGCTTTTTAATCAGGTCAGTGTATTCTTATTTAAACCAAATTATTTTAGTAGCAATGAGTTCGTCCAAAGATCGCTTGGTTAAGACTAACGTTAAAACTTCAATTGAACTACTAACTCATTAAAGCAAATATTAATCATGAACGCAAACACACACACTAAACGCAAACACCTCCAAACACAAACACAAACACACACGTGATGCTAACAAAAACATGAACGTGAACGCAGAGGGTAAACGTAAACAGAAACAAAAACTAAATGTGAAAAATACACAAATACAAATGCAAACACAAACACAAATGCAAACACAAACACAACCAACTTACCAAAAAAAAAAACAAACACAACCAGAACCACGTCCAAACAAAACCTCAAACGCAAACGCAACACAAACACGTTCAAGGGCAAACGCAAATGCAAACACAAACAAAAACTCAAAAATAAAGGCACACAAACGCAAACACAAACACAAACGCAAACACGTCCAAACGCAAGCACGTCCAAAAACAAACAAACGCAAAAACACGTACGCAAAAATAAAGACACAAACACAAACACGTCCAAACACAAACACAAACACGTCCAAAAACAAACAAACGCAAACACATGTGAGCAATAACATGAACGTGAACAGAAATAAAAGCAAATGTGAAAAAACCGCAAATGCAAACACAACACAAACTCGAAAACGTCCAAACACAACGCAAACGCTAAAACGTCAAAACACAGACCGCAAACACGTCCAAACAACACAAAAAATATGCCTGAGCATATAATCCGAATTCAAGCAATTGGATCTGGAGCGGTCCGGAATTTTTGAAATCCAGCCAGAGTTGGTAATTCAAATAATTCGGATCGGGTAATACGGATCCAGTTTGGGGTCTAATCGTGTTTAATCACCTAATTTAGATCCAAATTTTGGTCATGTAACCGAACTTTTCTATGTTTCAGACTTTCAGTTACACTTTAGGTTTTTCAAAAAAAAAAATTGTAAACCGAACAGAAATCGGAAAAATCCGAACCGATCATAATTTATCGAAAATCATTTGGATCGTATTCTGATCTAAACATCCCAATTTGAAAAATTTATCCGAACACACCGAAACCCAAAAATAACAAATACTTAAAAACTAACATAAATATACGTGAAGACCAACAAAATATGGTGAGATTCGCGATAGGTCGAGCTCAAAAATTAATCGGACTATGTGCCTAATTCAAATATATTGTGAACAAAATTTAAGGGTCATCTAGTCCTAGTCCGAAAAAATCTGGACATAGAACGAGAGAGCTCGACCAATCCTAAATTATCGAAAGTCATTTGAATCTTTTGTTGCGGTCCCATCCGATAATCTTTCAAGAGCTGGTCTTTGACCTTTAGTGATACCCTGAGCTTCTCCCCTGAAGATGGGAAGAGAGGAGGCGAGGGGAGCTTTGAAAAGGGAGGTTGGAGGGGGGGGGGTGTACAGAATTTCCAGCATTCGATCCTGAGAGATTCATGCATACTTCTAGGTAGGCATGACCACGGTTACGGTTAATGCGGTTATGGTTAATTAACCACCGGTTAACGGTTATAATTTTTTTAACTATAACCTTAATCATTATATATACGGTTAAGACGGTTACGGTTATATACGGTTACGGTTAATTACGGTTACGGTTAAATACGGTTACGGTTATTTGATGATTATTATAATATTAATATTGGAGATAAAATTTTATGAAATATTATTTATTTTACAAGTAAAAAACATATTTGATTTCAATTATTTATAGTGAATTAGTTAAATCTGGGTATTGTATACAGTTATAATATAATTTATTTTAAAATTTTAAATATGCGGTTAACCGAGCGTTTAACCGTACGGTTAACCGACGATTAATTACGGTTAATTATGGTTACGGTTAATTAACGGTTACGGTTATTATTATTTTTTAACCGTAACTAATTTACTTTTACGGTTAACGGTTACAATTTTTAACCGTTTTATACGGTTACGGTCCGGTTACGGTTGATAAACGGTCCGGTTACGGTTAAAAATACGGTTAAGGTTAGCTTTTGGTCATGCCTACTTCTAGGTCTCTCAGGCGAACGCTTGCGCCGCCAGTCCATTTCTCTCGTTCTAATAGAGGAGAATTGGTCTTGGTACTGAGCTCGACCAATCCTAAATTACCAAAAGTCATTTGAATCTTACTCGGATTCTAAACATCTTAATCCCAAACATCCAAAATATGAATGATCCAAAACACACCCAAGCCTAAAAATACAAACACATACAAAACAAGATGCATGTTCAATCCAAACTTAGTTATGTTTAAGTTATAAATTTAACATGTCTAGTTAAAATTCCAAAAATTTTAGGCCCCTTCTTGCAAAATTATAAGTTTATTGCAAATGTAGGACCTTTATAAACTTTTTAGAAAACCAATATTTAAAAATTGCTACACGATAGGCATGAAAGCAAACCAAAGCCTATGATAAGATCTTATGTTTCCTCAAACCATTGGTCCGGCATCTTAATAACACTAAAAGTTTTAAAAACATCAAAATATTATTGCAAAATTAAAAAAACAACAACATTAGAGGTATATATCACTAATAAAATTATTTATTTACATTAAGGTTTTTTTAATCTATTTTATTATGTTATCGAATTATTTTAAATATTACACAAGTAAAAAGTTAAAACTACATTAGAAGCTGATTACGAAAGGTATAATATTTTTTGTGGTCACTTTTCTTGATGTTCTATGTTTGATTTTTTTTTAATTATTATATACAATGCATTAAAAAATTATGTAAAACATTTTTAAACTTTTTAAAAGTTTAACTGTTATTATTTTTTTTTACTCTACACGAAGTTTAATCTGAAGTATTATTGACCTTGCTAAACATTTTATGACAGGACGAGTTGTAAGACATGACGAGTTTGAATTGATATTGATAGAAACAAATTTCATTAATTTCATACTTAAATACGGGTAAAAATATATATTTTACTATTTTTTAACAACAACAATATATGATATGTATAATCAAAATGATTTAGTAAAAATTGATAATATATAATCTTAATAATTACAAAATAAACTCAAACAAAATTTGTAAATTTTCTAAAATATGAATTAAAAATGTTTATCCCACCGAATCAAAATCTAGTAATATGTATACACAGAAAATATGGATTGTGATTTGCTCAGTTATACACATACTAGATTTGGACCATACGTACGTATGAAGTTATATTTATAAAAAACCTTTATATATTATTTAGCTGTAAATATTAAAAGATGTACATGTGTATATATGTTAGAGATGTTAAATAAGATTTAAATACGAAATGTGAATATATATTGGATGAAATCACATATATATACCAAATCGAATCAAAACTAACGAATAACCAATATATCATGTATTCATGTTGAGTAGTATCATTTGAAAATGATAGTTAACGGATGTTAAACCGTATTCCTAGTATATAAAAATCCTTTAAAAACTTTTCTATATTTCTTAAATCATTTTTAAAAAACTCTTTAGTAGGTTTCTTAATTTAATTTGGATATTCCCAAACTTAGGTAAATAGTTCGACACCAAATCGTGGATCTTTCTAAACATGTAACATATATATATAGAATAATTCGAATATATAGGTAACATTCATTTTGGAGTAGCACTCACTGAAGCCACCGTTGAAAGTTCGAAGAATGAAGTCAGTGTAACTTATCGAATTTGTTTTCTCAATCGACCACTGAGTAATATATTTGAATTTGTCAATACTATATGCTGATTTATGAGAGAAGGTTCATCTGGGATACAACAATAACAATATATTATAAAATTTCAAAATATATAAATATATATTAAGATGATTTATTTTATTGTTGTGACTAATAAATATCAAGTAAGGTTTATCCAAAGTTTTTGTGGTTTATAAGAGACCACAAAACAACAACAAAAAATCATTATCAAAACTTTGAGGTCTCTATGCCTTTATCATCAAGATTCAACAGCTATAATATCATATAAATATATCAATTTCATTAGTAAACTCCGCAAGAAGCTCTTGAGGTCTCCACACACCTATATAAAAGTTCTGGGGTCAATTTGAAAATACTGTTAATTGTTTTCGCCGAATTTTTAATTTTACTAAATTTTTCATAAGCCAACCTGGACAAGTTTAAACATGGGCTCAATTTATCATAAAGCCCATTAAATAACAAGAAATAATCGGCCCGTTAGTCGAGAAAAATCGTCACCGGCGTCTTCCGTTCACTTTTTCTCCGTCATCGTCTCTCTCTGTCTCTCTATCATAATCTCGGAGAAGAAAGATCGTCTTCGTCGTCTGGTTGAAGAAAAGAGAAAATGAGTGGTCACGATTCGAAATACTTCTCGACGACGAAGAAGGGAGAGATCCCTGAGCTCAAGGAAGAGCTTAATTCCCAGTATAAGGTTTTTTTTTCCTTAACCTCACTCTCTTTTGTCTTTTACATGTGGATCTGTGATCCGCGGCCATTGTTATAGTCACGATCTCTCGTTCGATGATCTTATTCTCCTTATAACTTAGTTTTTCTTATACAAATTTTGGTAGATCTGTGTAGTTTCTGGATTTGAATTTTCAATCTGTAAAGGTTGTTGCTGTTTTTAGTGATTTTGGTTTCGTTCTGTGGGAAGAAGGATGATTCTGTAAGTTATAGTGATATTTTTGAGCAATTCATTGAGATATAACTAGGATTGGAGAGAAATTGAGAATGGCTTATGCAGTGGATGTGTGCAATATCGTAGTAGCTTTAGTGGAGCTTAGGTTGCTGAATCAGAGCTCGTTCAATCTAGATCAGTGCATTTGTTATAGGATCAGTGATGGTTAAGTGAACTGGTTTTTTTTTGAATTTAGGAGTTTTCTTTGCAAATGAAGAGCCTAAACTAAGCTATTGACTTTAGTAGGAATATCTGGCACAGGTCTTTTTGATATTTTTGTGCTCAACTCTGTTCCGTATAACTTTTCTGCTCAAAGTTATAGTTCAGTACGATGGATATGTTTGGAATGATGCTTTTCTATTTTGCTTCAGTTTCATTAACCTTTCGTGTATACTTTCTGTTTCATAGGATAAGAGGAAAGATGCAGTTAAGAAGGTTATTGCAGCAATGACTGTTGGAAAGGATGTTTCTTCACTTTTCACTGATGTAGTCAATTGTATGCAAACGGAAAATTTGGAGTTGAAGAAGCTTGTTTACTTGTATC